CAGATAGTTCATCATGAGTCACAGAAACGCTCGAAACAAACAACGTAGCAAGAATAATTAATTTTAAAAGTGCTGCATTCAATGTCACATGCACCCCGTGATGGAATATGAAGGCCAAAAATACGAAATTCATTGGAAGGATATTTCATGAATGGATTTATCACCGAGTTATATATATATATATATATATATATATATATATATATATATAAAGCGTTAATTTCATGGAAAATTATGAACAATGACGTCATATAATAGTCTTAATTCTAGGTCATATATTGCAACTGATATCAATTGAGGGTTGCGTAACTTCTACTTAATATGTGCGAATGTATTTTCGTCATAATAAACAAATTTATTAATGAGATTAAATGAAGTGATGTTATGATATACGAGAAGCAATTCAAGAAAGAGGAACATTTTCAAATGCAAAACCAACCAAACAAAATTAAGATAATAGTATTGATAATGCTTAAGGGTTACAATAAAGATACGGATAAGATATCTTGTATACGCAAAATTCAGGTTTTATCTCATAGATGGTAAGAACTTTTGATTATTTAAATAGCTGAAGACGACGAAACTTTGATAGGTTTGCACGAACTATATTAATAACCTTAAAATCAGCATGTGTGTATGTTGATAGGTTAGCATAGATTAAATGTTTAAGAAAACTAACCGATTCTTTGTCATCCCCTTTGAACCATACTGGAGTGTGTTTTCATATCCATATTAAAAACAAGCACTGGCTACGGCCTATATATCTTGCTTCATAATAGTTGGTGAATTGAAAGATGCAAATAGAAGCGATCAGACGAGGAGGCCTGATAATAAATTACTTGTAAAGAGATTTCTTCGCTGAAATTCGTGTTTTTTTAATGTTTAAATAGAAATCTTAAGTATGATTGAACAAAGCAACGCCTAATGAAAAAACAGTCGAAATATTATGGTAGATGTGCCGCTTTTGTTAATAAACGTCGTTAGTAATAATTCAGGATTTAATTTAACAATTTATGATAATACAAAATCAACTATTAAGTTGTACTTTATGTTGATCGTATTTAATGTTATTGACAACAGATTAGCCTGATAAATAAAACTTAAACTTTTGCATTATTTTAAAATGCTCGAAACAGATAAGGTTCAGTTGCTAACATAAAAGTTAGGCTCTGCAATTCAAAAGAAAATGAGACGAAGTTTTTTTTAGCTATTTTGTTTTCTTAAAGTGTGAGTATATTTGTTATTATTCATTTCAGTGTCATGCATTTCTAGAAATCGTCACGTTCTGATTTCATTGTGCGGTAACTTAAATATTACAATACTGCCCGGGTTTCCAGATCGAAGCACGTGTTTTTCTCAGGGTCTTATCTACAAGACAGTAGAGCAACGTCAGGAGATGTAATCCCATGTTAGCCGATAACCAATAATTAGTTCATACGCCATTTGTTCCTTCAGGATCTTGGAGCCCATATGCACCACTGGTTTGGAATCGGGGTTCTCCAACCCCCCTTAGGCGGACCACCAACCTAGTTAAAGCGCCGGACATTCACTTTTCGTTCTCTCAATTTCGTAAACAACACCCCCACCGCGAGAAGGCAGTGACAAAAACTAGTTCATTAAAATACATCAGTTATTTCATAAGAGTATTCATTTCTTTAAACTCTTGCTCACTATTTAGAATTTATTAGTAAGTAATACTGTTCTATGAATAATAATCAATGTCATAATTTGTACAAAATGATAAATGACAATAAACATTGTTTAACAACTTCATTTTTCATTGTTTTTTTTCTTTTAAAAAACGTATTAAACTTAATGTAAAAGTAAACGATATTACTTTTAAAATCAAATGACCTGAATCTATGTTAACAGACATAGGTGAATGAGTATAGAAACACAGACTCATTTACTAATACTCTACTAAGCAAATACAAACTAAATTGATATGATAATTTCTTGTAATGACTAAAAAGTGTGATCAATAATCAAATAGATTCATGTAACGACTTAAACAACGTTCATTAGTCATTAAGTAATACACATGCTCAAAATTTATACATGAATAAGATAATTCCGTTGTATTCTATTGAAAATTACGAGTTTGATTTATTGCTTCATGTTCCAAAAATAAAACAGGTTTAAACAAGCATTAACATTAAAGTAAGATGAAAGTCACTCATATAAGAAAAAGAAGATATTACTAAGCCGAATTCGGATGGTAGGTATATATGTATATATATATATATATATATATATATATATATATTACATATGGATACTTTTCATTGTGTATTGTCATTCTGAACAAGATAAGAATACACAGTAAACAAGAAAACTATAAAGTTGTAATAAAATGACTCTTAACTGATAATGGACTCAATAAAGAAATGGGTTTTTTTAATTTACCACAGATTAATTCAGACTGATTTCGTAATATAAATAAGTTAAATCTTGTTTCATCGTATTTTTTACCATTTTGAAAAGTAGTGTATACTAGTCAATCATTCATTTAATGTACTGCAGTGACTCTTAAGTTAATAGGTGATTTCCAGAGGATTGAATATTATTTGAGAAAAGTTTAAAAATATTCAAAGTTATTCAAAGTGATTAAAAAACAGCAAATCACTTCATCTATTATTTTCTTGAATTGGAACTCTTCACTTTACAATCATCTAATACACATTACCTATTGCAATTGATAATCTGTTGAAAATAAAACTAAATCTTTTTGTTTGCTCTATGTATAATTATCAGTATGTCTTGATACAGAAGAACAAAGAAGGAATCAGTCTTTTAAATGTTTTTTGTAGAGCGAAAATTGAGGTTCTTATTCATGTCGAGTAAGTCTCACTGAAATTGACATTGAAAGTACAATGTATCATTTAACATTATATACGCTTGTCACTAGTTCGATAAAGGACATGAAGCTAAATTCATATGATCCTTAAAATTAGTCAGTAAATGGGAAAAAATAAATCTATTGCTTTTCAAAGAAACTATCACTAACAAATTATTGTAACACATTTTATGTGTTCAGAAAAGGAATACCGTTAACTTATTTCTGCTCTACCAATACAAGTTTCAATACTTAGCTGTGTATTGGCTCTTGTTTGGATGTAATTGATATTACATTTGTCGTAGTTTAACTTATGTCAATAAAATTCCACTGCCCACCTCCTCTCTAAAATCATTCAAACACATGTTCTAAAAGTAAACAATTTTATGCTAAGTGTCCTGATATACCCTTGTTTTATCTTCAGTTTCGGATCACTACTTCGTTGTCAATGTGATAAAATGTTTTAAATCTTCTAAATTGAGAACTCATATTATTTATTAAGTTATGAACAGCTAAACCAAATCCATGAACTAATTGGATTTATATTATTTTTGTAATATTACATTTTTTGCATTATAGAGATTAGTAGAGAGGAAAATTAAGTGGCTTACAATGAAATAAATTTTTCACTTCTATGGAAGTCTATAGGTCGTTTCCTAATAGATATCCAAACATGAAGAGAGTAAATCAAAGCTAAAGAAGACTACTTACATTAAAGATATCATCATGTAACTGCTTAAACTAACACATGACAGTAGCTTATGTTGTGACAATGAAAAATAAGACTGGATCTGTGTATCTAATTTTATTGAACCTTGGTCTGTGAAAAAACAACTAATTGTTCGAGGTGTATTGATAAACTGAATAACTAAATAAAATCACTGAAAATAAAAATAATAGGTTGTATCCATTAAGTAACCGTATGTTCACCGAACTTTACTGATGACTTCTTCAGAATTACATGAGTATCGTATTTGATGACATTCAGACAGAATATCTTGGAGTCATATATTTTATTTAGATATCATTATTCAATGATACAACATATTAATGAAACAAAAATAGCTATTTGTGTAATTAAAAGAACTTAGATTTCTCACAATTTAATGTGAAATTTTAGTCTAAAACAAAATTATGTTACATTGAAGAGTGGATTCTTTTTCCTTGGTATTTTTTTATTTATTTTAAAGTGAAATTAACTGAACCACCAAGCGTTGACACAATAGGTGTACAACGTTCTAATACATTATGTTTAAACATTTTCTCATTTTAATTATGACAGAGAAAATTGGAAGCTATTCAGTGAAATAGATATTTGTTCTATAATAAATAAAACAAATTTTGAAAGCTGGAAAACTTATAAAATTGCCTTGATTAAGTAGCTTTCAATTTACTCTAATAACATGTTGACTACTCATTATTATTGGAATCGAACTGTCTACTTTTAAATAACACGAAATATTTTTATGATAAAAGATTTAATGTTTCGAATTTTGAAAACATGTATGACCGAGCTATTTTACATAAAACTAGACATTTTGACGTGTTACTTTTACAAATATGCTGATAAAAGCTTCAAGTATTTGTAGAGGTTTTGAGGATATTATGATAATTTCAATGGTTGAGGTCATGAATCAATTGAAACTAGACCACCATGGAAAACCTGGAAGCACTGGATGGCCGTTTCACCCTGTTGTGGGACTCAGCAGTGCGCATCCACGACCTCGCCTCGCGGGACTCGAACCTAGGACCTACTGATATCGCGCGCGAGCACTTAACCACTAAACCACTGAACCGAAACGAAACGGCCATCCAGTGGTTCCAGGTTTTACATGGTGGTCTAGCTTCAATTGACTCATGATCTCAACAACTGAAAACCTTCAAGTGTTGTTAATATTATCTGAGAGTGTGTCGTCTATAACAATAGATTCTTGGGATAAGAATTTAATTGATGGTCTAATACATTTAACTGTACTAATTACTATTAAATAAGTTAGTGCTGTTCTTCGACCGATCGTCACTCTTATAAGTCTCATATAGGGTTATGAATTAATTATCGAATGTTTTTCTGTATTTGTAGTTTGACGTGTGGCATTTAGAAACATTTTAAAAATATCATATGCAACCGATAATAAATGCATAAATCAAATAATTATTGGCTTACTCCGCATAGATGAACTAACGCTAAAAATAGATGCTGTTTCTGAGCCACTTTCATTTGTTTGAGATATCCACGCTGGATCTAAACTTGGACGATACGTACTGTGTCGGTCCTGTAAATTAGTTGTTTTGAAGGATTCACTTGATGTACGAGGTGCTGCTGGTGTTGACGAACGTCCTGTACGACGACTTTGGGATGGTCTCATGGTAGCTGAATAGTTAGGATAAACTATGTCATTAGGATCATGGCACTTCTGATTGATACCATTCGATAGTTTGTTGAGATTATATGCAGATCTAGATTGGTTTAAATGATTATTCTGATCATCAGACATTGCCATATAATCTATAAAGGAATTTAACAATTTATAGGATGTTTTGATAAGTAGGTTTGCTTTAAAAATCAAATAGTTCTTTGATTTGAAACGAAAGGAAATGTCCTCACTGTATTGTACTTACATAAATATTGAGGTAGACCTGAATCACTCTGAAAAATGCAAAAAGGTCAACTTTGTCACTGAATGTCGATTAATAATTACCTTATCCACAGCTTTTATTTTTTCGTTTTTTATGTTGTGACTGCTTTTCTTTGATGAGATTTAACTGGATCCTATTCACTTAATCATTCAAATGATAAATACAAATAAATGCATTTAATGGCTAACTGATTGTTTAAATAAAATTAGCTGAAATGAGGAGATTTGTCCACTTCTACTGCCTTAATTTATGCCAACACTATAGAACAAGTAAAATGACGGTCTAATATACTCAATTCGACAAATGTATAATGTTAATAAAACAGAATAGCTTGAAGACAGCACAGAAACCTTACTAATATTTCATCTTTAAAAAGCGTCAAGTTGAACACTTTTATAACTCATTCCTTGTTTTGACTTATATAATAAGAATATTCTATACATTTTCTTTTCAAGAATGCTTGATGAATAATAAGATTTCGAAAATTGTTTTTTTTTCATATCCATAAATTAACACTCATGCAAGAGATTATTTATTTTTACAATTTTTGTCTCCATTGTATTAGGATAAACGTAGATTACTATTTTTGTAGTCACTTTCTTCGTCTGAATTTTATTATAAACTTATGGAATATTACAACTAAACACTTGATCAAGTCATGTATTTTTGTTAATTACATATTTTAATTCAACTAACATTTCAACGAATGAACTTGAGGATGACATTCCCAATTAGCTTAATTGATATGAGATAATTAATTAATTCAATAGAATTATTCATGAGATGAAATATACTTATGAACATGAACGAGGAATATAATCTATAGTGAAACATATTAATTTGCATATGTTATAAGAAAATTGCTTAGGATAAAAATAGATGGAAAGATTAGTAAATTAAGCATGTCTCCTAAAGAGTAATATAAATAAGCTTTCTCATTCTGTATTCATATCGCGAGACTAGGACCAAACTATATGGAATAAAACAAATATTTAATAGTAATTTAGAATTTTCATTTACTAATAAGAATTATTTCATCATCACAATGGAACAACTATTTATATTATATATAAAAACTTTCATCTAAATTTGGACAAACAGTTTCACAGTAGTTAGATTAGTTGATTTGGTATTCACATAAACCCTGGACTTAATTTGTTGTCTACCTTAAATTAAGTTTGATAGTTTTGATTTCGAAGATTCAGATGAATTTGATCTTCGTTAGCATTTTTTATTTCTGACTTATGTAAGCTACAATTAAAGTAGAATGATGTAATATAGTTCTGATTGCAACCGGAATACGATTAAAAACGTGATTTATCAAGTTGAGAAACACCGTTATGTCACATAGTGGAGAACGTTGTACAGCTGAATGGGTGAAACGGAGTTATTTATATATTAGATGAGAGGGTGAATATTATAGGAAGTAAGAGCGAGTAGCCTACAGTATATCTAAATTCGAAAATTTGGTAACAAAATCTAAATGTCAATTTTTAAAAAGATTCCAATGATATTCACAATTACAAAAAGTAGATGGCCGAAAACCACTCAGCGAAACTGTGGAGAATTAAGTGATGAGTAAGCATGTCAAGTCCGTAATAAATGGATCTGGCATAAGATAAAAAGAATTACAGAAATGAAATAGCTTGATGATTTTATATGCGAATTTGTAAATATGAATAAAATGAATGTTGTGACATCTTTTCTAAACGTTTACTTGTCTTGAGATACAATCTACTTAAGAAGAAAAATGCATAACCCCTTCAACATAGCATATAAGCAATATTGATGATAAATACAACAGTAAGTCAATTTGAAAAGAAAAACTTTCTAAAGACTGTTCATCTCATTGATTTCAAAAGAACAATCTTACTTTTATTATCATTAAAATCTATGGAATCAGATATAGAGTTTAATTGATAACCACTTATGCTGGTATTCATCCATGTATTATTTCTTATCATGTGGTTCCCTTTAAGTGTATTACAATGATCCTTTTCAAATTCAGATAATCCATCTACTTCAGTTATTCCATTTTGCTTTGAGAAGTCATTCAGTCGCCCCATACTAGAACACCTTTGCTGTGATCGTATACGTGAAAATGATCTTCGGCGAAGATTACGCTTTAGATAATTACGAATTGGAACTAAAAATGCAAAGAGATGAAAGGAATATTTTGTAATATAACGTAGATAAAGGTATAGTCATTCTATGAAACATGAATTTTTCTGTAGTAATCTGTAAGAGATTCCATCAAAATAACTAAGCAGTTTTGAAGTTAGGAGTAAACCTTCAGTCTACATTTAATTTGTAGAGGAAAGTTCTTTTTACTGCAGACTCATTCAGCTACAACGTAGGACCAGGCACATATATGCATCGGTTCAAGTTGCCATACTTCATTAGCACAAAAAGATGAACGCCGAATTGATACTACAATGGTAGTGATATATAAAAGAAAGATTGCATATAAGGATATAATACAGGAAGAAAGAATTAGTTCGTAGATATAAAAATATAAAACAGTTTTATTCTGACGGTTTAAGGAAAGACAATGGGTGTATACACCCACTCCATAATGATCAATTCTGAGCCATGTCATCCAGAATCTTCAACCATTGGTTATGATAGTCGTGCGGACCCCAACCAAATAGTCTTCCAGCATGCCTCAGATAAGAAGTTAGTGACTTCAAGGACTGATGCCACTCTTTGATTTGGCCGCCCTTAATTTCCCTCTAACCGTCTCTAACACTAGTCAGCTTTGCGCGTCATGGTAATCGGTGTTCAGTCATACATAACACGTTTCCCAACCATCTCAGTATATTGAGATTCACAACCTCATCAACTGATTTAACATCATTCTTCAATACCCTGCGTCTAACCTCACTATTACTTACCCGCTGATCCCAGAAGATGCCAAAAATATTTCTAGGACGTCTGTAATCGAATACTAGCAACTTACGAGTATCTTCTACACTTAATGGCCACGTTTTGCAGCCGTAAAGCAGAACTGCTGCACAGTACACCCGTCTCTTAATTTATAGGTGGATATCTCGCCTTCGCCACAGATGACTTAAGTTGGTAAAAGCCAAACGAATCAGTTAGGAGGTTTCGTCAGACACCAACCTGTTAGGGCTTATCAAACTTCCAACATAAGTGACGTTGTCGACGTGTTCGAATTCTTCACTCCCTACCCTTAGTTTAGATGTTGACGCAGTTAAGTCAAGGAAGACCACCATTAATGGACACCGATCAGCATTCCTGGGTTCTAAAATCTGACGAATAGTGAATATGTGGTCGATACAGTCACGACCAGGTCTAAAGCCAGCCTGATTTTCTCGTATTCGCGAAACCATAAAGACTGAGTACTGGTCAATTTTATTATTTGATAGTAAACGAAGTTGGATGATTGTTATCACTTATTGGATGGTCTTATAAACTTTACATGTTTTTACAGCTATTTTAGCACATGTTTAGCCACTCCTAATAGGAATTTGTGAATAATACCCCCCTATATATATTTGCCCACATACAAGTAAGTTATTAAACATATTGGAACACATGATTTAATTGTTTACAGGCTATTTATGATTGTGACGAATCTTGTACATCATTTTTTTAATAGTCATGACTTTAAATGCATAGCACACCATACTGATAACCAACTTAAGTCTTCGTTTCAGCTCATGAAAAATCTAAAATCTTTAGTACACATTATTAAGGATTGCATTATAGCCACGTTACATTTGCTTGTGTTTTACGATATTGTATCCAGGTATATTTATATGCATGTCAAAAATTCAAGTTCAATCTCGTTCCTAATGTATATAAACTTAGTAGTAATTAAATAAGTTAACAACCAAAATTGTTTTATTTTTATTAAAGTTTATTTTATTTCTAATTATGAATTTAGTGTAGATTTTTATTCGATAAAAGCTTTAAAAAAAGATTATTTTCATTATGATGAACAGGAATGAACTTTGACACACTGTTCTGATGATCATGTTCAAACAGGATTTGAGTTCTTATTGACATATAAACGTTAAAAAATTAAAATTGTGTCATTTTTTGGCTTAGTCTCATTATGCTAAAACGATTTAACTGGTTTAAACAGTGTTACATAGATTAAAAAATTGTATCATGATTATTAGAACGTAATTAATAATGATAATAAACTCTAATTTTGTGTTAAACTCAGATTTTTCTACAAGATAATTACTAGACTAGATAATAATTATTATAATCCAGTTGACCGTTAAGACTGGATGTTCAATTATTTAAGATATAACTGACCATAAGTGCAGGTTAGAACAATTAGTATACCTAATGATACAATCTACTTCGATTTGACCAGTAAAATATTAGTAGTTAAATTATACAAAAATAAATTTCTGTCGCGCATTCGATGTTTAAATTGGATTTTTTTTTCAAAGTGATAAGTAATGCAAACATTTAAGGAATTAATTTTTATGATTGTATTATGTTCCTAGCTTTAGTTGGTTTTTCAGGTACCTCTATTTAGATAAAAGGTTAAATTGAATTTTAAAAGGGAATAGAATTTATGAAATATTTTATGAAAGAATTTGGTCTACTTAACTGCCTTGTAAAAACTCAATAAAAGCCAATAATATAAAATAAATAATTAAAATAAACAAAACATAATCAACAAATGGAAATTCGAAACTGAAAGCAAATGGAATGCGAAATTGTAGTTATAGGAATCCATAACAAAAGTTCTAAGTTGAAAGTTTTTTTTCTGAAATAAACCATAACTGCTTTTCGGATGAACAGCAAAAAAATAAGAAACTGAACATTGTAAAACTGGATTTAGACCCCAGGGTTAAGGTAAACATGGTAATAGAATATAATCTGGATAGTGAAATAACGGCCAAGTGAATTTATTAATATAACCTTCTGAGACTTAAAAGAAGAAAGCATAATCATCCAGAAATTCTGCAAACCAAAGTGGTAACTTAGGTTACGCGTTTAAATTTGATTAAGATTTTCAAAATTCCTACCTACCTCATGTCTATCCAAGCAAATCCGAAGTATCCGAAACTTTAAGATTGTAAAAAGATTCGCTTATGTACATGCTTCAGGATGAGTAATTTTATGGTGGATCTCAACGATTTGAAGATGATTTCCTCCAAAAACTTGTCTCATGATTAGAATCATTTAAGCCCGAGCAGTTCCAAAGAGCTGCTAAACACTATTTTACTTAACACAGAAGAGTTATGCTGACATGAATGAGTGTGGTGACAAATGTTTAAAGTAAGGACCCGTGGTTTCTCGTTCGTAGACCATCCATAGCCATTCCTGAGGAATTCGAGCCGCTCTTTGTTGACTCTTTTTAAAGGGCTCTTCAGTTTACCTCATTCAGAGATGAAACGTATCTCCAAACTGTATAGATTTATTGTTTTGATGAAATGAAAATAAGAAAAGTTCAATGCTTCAAAATTCATAGAAATAATGTGAGGTTTACAGTTACTCATTTTTCATATAACTGCATAAAACGGGAGTCTTATTAACATACTTTAATATATATGTCAAATCGTGAAGTACTTACCAACATCTTGTTCATGAAAACCTTTAATTAAATCTGCTATTTCTATGTGATTAGAAATCATTGCTTGTTCATAAGTCGTGTGTCCATTGAAATTTTTTATATTTTTATCAGCACCTCGAAATAACAACATCCGAGCACAGGATTCTTGCCCGGTGTATGCACATATATGAAGTGGGGTGTTGCCGTTCTTCGATGTTTGTACATTAATTTCAGCACCGTAGGCAAGTAAAATTTCCAAATGCTGTACACGACCAAATCGACATGCCTATTTGAAATAATCAGGAAAATAGTTAGGCAGAGGACTTATTCCATAACCACTGTGAAGACTGTTTAACAGTTAGCATATGCATGATTAATTAATAAAGGTTTTAATTAATGTTATCATAAAAGCTGTTTATTTACCTTTCCATCACATACCCGATACCAGTAAAGGAGGTGTACATGGCATCTTCAAATAAAAACATCTAATTACTGGACATCTGAAGCTCTATAGGTTTTACAATACAACGTCTATGTGATTATTTTTAACAAGGTAAATAAGTTAGAAAATCAAAAAGGCTTCTCAATATGGTTGCAGAGAACTGATAGGTGAAGAATTTCGGAAATCATATTGCTAATAATAGCAGAATGTATATTACAAGAAACTCCATTGAAATAAAAGATGCTTGATATTATGTGATATAATTTGTTTTCTATATGGTTAGATGTTTTAAACTACCATTAGTAATGAAACAGTGTTTACCACATGTAAAGTGCAGATCACTTTGTAGCGAACGCCTAGTGTTTTCTAGTTGATGCCATCATTGAAGAGCAATGGATAAACTCTAATATTATTATAAATAATATGAAGCTTCTTCAACATAATCATTCTTATGTTTCTTCCTTGCACTTATGCACCTCGTCACTCACTATGATAAAATCATCAAAGGCAACTTAGAAAACCATCAACTATTAGTGATTTCCTAATCATCGAGTTCTAAACATTTTACAAATCACGCTCAGAAGTGAGGTTAATAAAACTTTTATAAATGAAGAAATATTATACCATATCAGACTAAAGAAAACTGTCTGAATCAAAGTGCCTTCCGGTTACATAAATCGTCCCCTGTACAACTGCCTATAAGCATATAACCAATGAGACGAAACGTTTAATGTTGTTCGGACCGTGATGTAACCTGTCCATTGATTTGGACTAAAGTACGAGTAGATGTTGTATGTAAGAAGCACTAAATATTTGTTTCCTCAAGTCAAATATTTGGTAAAATTAACTGACCAACATTGTATAAATGTATTTGTGGTTTGATCTAAATTACAAACCTTATCGGATACAGGTATCGACTCTTGGAAACGCAATTTAATTGTCATTTATATCAACTGAACGTTATTTACATAGGTACAATAGTTTTTAATTTTTTGGTCATATATATCGTTATGTTTGTTAGTCACAAAATATTTTGTTCTTACTGATTGTACATCTATGTATAGAAGTTTACAGTAAAGTATATAGAACCTACAGAATATTGTAACCACAGGTGACAACAAATTTCAATAGTAAAATGATCTTCAACTTCTTGAAAAGGTCGAAAATAAGTAGGCATTCACTGCAACTGTCCAAGCGTTTACCAAGTTGCTTGTATTTACGGAAACTCATTTTTCTTTTATTAGTCACTTGTTAAAATTTAGTAAACAAGTATCATATAAGGTTTGTAAACAAAATACTGCTAATTTTTCACATCAAATCTAAATACAAAGGTTTCAGGTCATTATTGATATTTACTCTAGTGTACATATTCTTCAACTCAAATCTCAGAGATAGTTTATATCGATTTCATAGTCCAAAATGAATAATGTTCTTGCATGTGAGTATTATTTATAATGTTTGACCTGATAATCTCAAACTAATTACGCATTTAGTGGATTATTGACAATGATAAAATAATGATATATATATATATATATATATATATATATATATATATATATATATATATATATATATATATATATATATATGTATTATTTAAATGAGTATAAAGCTGAATTCCTAACATTTCTAGGCTAAGTATAAATCGTTTCCTCATGGAACTAATTTGAACCAGATTACTTTTTTTCTAACAACTTACAGTAAATTCACTTGTTGTTCTACTTGTATCTTCCCATTGTTATTTAGGACTGCGATTGGTCAGTTTCGTGTTGGCATATATGCATCCTTTGCGGATTTCCTCGATACAGCCTTAAGTCACAAGCTTCTTAAGCGAAGATAGACAGTGGCTAGTAGTGGAATCCAGGATACGCGTTTCGTCCTATTTGGGACTCGTCAGCTGGATGTACCTCCATTCTAGAGTTGATGTTCACTCTGGAACTCCAGACCAGTACCGTTCGCTTCAAACGCCATCGCATTCTAGATTCAACTACTAGCCACTATCCATCTTCTCTTAAGAAGTTTGTGACTTAAGGCTGTATCGAGGAAATCCGCAAAGAATGCACATATGGCAACACGAAACTGACCAATCACAGTCCTAAATAACAATGGGAAGATACAAGTAGAACAACTCCAAGTGAATTTAAACTTCACCCCATTGAGTAAGCAGGTGGCTATCAGGACTCAGTAGCTAAGTGGATAACTTTATGGAGTTTGAAGTGAACGGTACTGGGTTAGAGTGCCATAGTGAATATCAACTCTGAGATTCAGGTATATCCAGTTGACGAGTCCCAAATAAGATGAAACGCACGTCCTGGATTCCACTACTATCCACTATCCATCTTCGCTTATATGACGGCATTGATATTATTTCCAGTTATTTTAATTTTGGTAACTGTGTGGAAGTTGAAGAACAACTTCAAGCAAAATATATTGCTTTAACTCACTTGCCTAAGTTTGGAAAATTAAAAGATGATTGAGTTTCTGTAAATAGATCTACCCAGTAGCCAGAAAGTTAAACAACACAAGTTTAATCTAAATAAATCTTGAAAAGTTTTCCTCCTTGCACTAAAAGACAAAGGTATCAGAGCATGGTATTCCTCCTAATTCAATAATGAATAACACATTCAAGGGTTATTACTACCTTACAACATCACATACGTGACTTATTAAATTTCGAATAACACACTATTCATTACATTCAGTCTTTATTAGCAGTTTATTAAACCATAAATTATTTTGCGATTTGGAGGGTTGTTTTCATCTAACTTCACTATTTCTTTTGTTTTGTTGTTAATTCATGAATCGAAAGATTGATGGATATGTATTAATAGATAAATGTTAGGAAAAAAGTTACCATGGTGAAGTAAAGTAGAATTTATTATCACAAATGTATATGTATTCAACAAAATATCTTGTCATTTAAATCAACATTTACGTTTGTCAGTCATCTCCCTTTTTATTATTTTACGGTATAAAAAACTATTTCAAGAAAAGTAGTTTCTAGTGCTTATATTACTCTAGATGTGACAATGATCAAGAACAATACAGCCACACGATCTATGGGTATATCGGATAGCAGATATTGTCTGATGAGACATTTGTATAACATTTATTACGGAATATTTTTCAAACATTATAACTCATGAAACTCACACAAATTTAAAAATTACGTAAATTTAAAGCTTTAACAATATATTTGACGTAGATCATACAATTCCTGAATAAATAATTGGATGACCCCATTACTGTTTAAATAATATTCAACAAGATATGATAGTTTCTATGATGCATTAGTTATTTAAATAAATAAAATGGACTACCAAGTCTACTTCAGCGTTTTTTTCCAAGTTAAAGACCTCTACTAGTCCACTTTTTCTATAAATTGTTTTTTAATTAAAGACTAACAGAATTTTAAAATATTTATTCAACTTTTGACAACAGAATACAAATATTATTGTCAGTTGAACGTTACAAGAGCTCGTTCATGCGGCTTGCTATTCCCAATTATTAATCATTAATCAATGAACTGATTGTTTCGTTGGAACCAGTTGAAAACAGTTAGCTTTTATATTTTGACAGTACAATTATTACTGTTCGGATAGTCTAATAACTTCCATAAAGAGTACTTAACATAGTAGTTTACGGATAATTTTTAAGAAATTAATTAATTTGAAACAACAGTTCGAAGTTATATTGGTATTGATGCCTTTTTGAGCAGTAATTATAAAATATAATTACAGATATTTTAAAATTTTAGGTAATGTTTAATGACAATTTCAACTTATTATGATATTCAAAATTAAGTCACCTGATGTATTTCTTGAAGTCCTGCTTCATCTGCTATTCCAAGAGGAGAATGATCAAATAGTAATCGTTCAACACATAAAGATATTGTGTTGTTCAATACTGCATAATATAATGGTGTTAAATCTGCCTTATCTCGTGTATTCGGTGATTGACCAAGATCAAGAAGTACCTATAAAACATACATTGTAGATAAGGTCAACTCACCAGAAGAATTAATAAAAAATAAATCAACGACTAAAATCAACTACCTGGAAATATTTAATATCGATCCATAGCAGTTAGGTTATTTGGTTAAGATGCCGAACAGAATTACTCAAAAAAGTAACTCAGTACATTTGTGTCGAAATAATACAGACGAGATATTTAGATTTCCTGGCTATATTTTCATAAATGAAGTCAAATTACGCTTAGTAAAATTGAGTGACGATACAACAGTTTATTACGTAGGTTATTTTTTGAAGAGTTCGTTTAGTATAAATGTATCTCTTTCTGCTGGCAGAAACAACTTAATTGATTATTTGAAATCAAAAAGTTGATAAATAGATTCAACAGGGTTGACTTCAGATGTCAGGTTAATTAATTGAAAAGTTTGTTTAAACTGCATGACATTCCGTTAACAATCGCTTTGCTTCTATTTTGCAACCTGACACTTTTTAGATGAAAAGGTCCTATATTTTTGGAAACGTGATCATTACTTATTTTTCCAAACTCAACACAATTCTCTATCTTATCTGTCATAATCAATAAAATAATTCTCAAAATTTCGTCCTACATATAACGATATTGCGAAATAATGGTTCATTAAAAAAATCAGTCCTTTATTTTTCCAAACACATTTTTTTTAAACGAACAAGAGTATTTACTCTAAACAAAATGTAAGTTTGATTTCTATGTTGTAAACCACTACTCTATGATTTATTTATCTAAAGAATCAACGAAATAAACAGTTTTCATTCTATTTATCAAACTAATCGAAGCAAAAAAACATCTAATTTTTATTATACATGCAGTTGTACACTTATAACTATAAAATACTTTTTCCAATTACCACATTTCAGATTATTTTTGACAAGAAAAATCTATTTTCTCTAAATCAAGATATTTTTCTTGAAACTACTTGAAAAAGGTCTTGAGTAGTATATCAAAACATAAAAATTAATCAGTTTTAAGATAATTAATAACGTGAACGACATAGTGAAGTGACAACGCTTCAATGACTTTCAATGAATCAATAAATATTATCAACAAAGATTCAATACTTCAACAAATGAGCTTTTTAAGCAGTTAACTTCTCAGAACTTATTTTGTTGAGTTCAGTTTGTTTCTATTTATATGCTTCATCTACATAAATGTTGATCATTATTGCAATGTTCAAACTAGTCACAAAAACACATTTAACAGTGGCATATTTTAGCATAATTAGAAGTTGAATAACGCGAATGAAATTTGTTTGGTGGATTCATGTCACTTAGTTGTAAATCGGAACAGCATGAAAAAAGACATCTTCAATGGATGTTCACTTGTGTTACATTATGAAATATAGTATTGATATATATGTGTCCGTATAAGAACACTAATCTTCTCTGTTTTGGTGGAGTTTTGTTCTCTGAGCTGGATGGTTTGGTCGTGCCGCAGAATCGTGGGAGTACTGGTCCGTTGGATTTCATTCTCCATTGTTCTTGGTTTGTTATTTCTCCCGCTTTGACTAGCTTGTTTAAGGTCTTTGAGATTTGGTTGTCTACTTTTTTGACGGGATTTGTATCCATCAGTTTGTATGTGCTCTTATCTTCCACTAGTTCTTCGGCTTTTTTGACGTATTCTTCTTTGTCCATAATTACTGTGGTGCGTCCTTTGTCCGCTGGTATGACACATTGTGTGTATGACAATATCCTTTCTATTTTTGAGTTCTTTTAGGGCCTTTTGTTCATGTGGAGTCAGTTGGTTGTTTTCCTTCAACTGTTGAGTTAGCGGTACTATAGTTCGCCTTATTTCTTGTTGTGTTCCTTCACTGATTCCGGAGGTTTTGAGTGATGACTCCAGTGCTGCAAAGAATTCCAGCTTTGAGGCGTCGCTTGTATTGTAATTTAATCCTTTTTGAAGTAGGTGTTCTTCTGTATTTGTTAGTGGTTGTTTTGACAAATTGACCACGCAGTTGTTTGTGTTTTGTTCCACGGGTGGTTTTGAGATCTTGATTAGTTTTTTCTTTAAGGTGTTTCTTCTCTGTTCTCTGTGTCGTTTGCATGATATCTCAATGGCCGTTGTCAAGATTTCCAAGTGTTCTGATGTAAGTGTCCTTCGTAGCTTCATCTTTTGGTCCTCTATGACGTGTTGGTATTTGCGGATTCTGTAGTGTGCATCCGTTATCATTAGGTGTACCATTTTTCCTTCACTTTGCCCAGCTATTTTCCATCCTAATGGGCAGTTGATTGGAGGTTTATATCTTACACTTGTTGGTGGAAAATGCTGGCGAAGACACTCATGGAGAAAACATAGTTGTTCTCGAGTGGAAGCCTGTCTTTTGGCGAAATTCTCTCATTTTCGAACAACGCTCATATGATTTTTAGATGGTGGAGAAGATTTGTAGCTCAGGTGGATGATTTTGGTAGAGTTTTGTTCTCTGAGCTGGGCCAAACCATTTAGCTCAGAGAACAAAACTCCACCAAAATCATCCACTTGAGCTACAAATCTTCACCATCTCAATCTTCTCTGTTTTTGTAAACTAGCATTTAACAAATGTTATATGAAAGACCAGTCAACTCTTATACAATATAGTTGTCAAATATAGGTACGAAAAAAGTTTCTAAAATATATGATGGTCTAATGATTAAAAGTAACCTCAAGTATTATCATACTTTCACCTTCATAGTGTGATGTGTGCTACTGATGTCAACAGATATAAGCAGTATGTATCATCAATCGAAAGTGGAGTGCCTAGCGGCAGAAGGTTGAGAGAATAGAAGACGAGATCAAATAGTATTTGGTATGGAAACGAAGGAATAACAAAGTCTGAGGCAGTTGATGGATATTTTGCAAATGAAGCATTACTGTATGGTCCTCAGATTTTACCATGATGTTCTGTAAGGTTGTATTAAAAGACATTTAGTTGTTCCCGATTGTGTTCTCGTTCACTACAGCAGTACTATGTCTTTGATGGATTTTTCAACAGATAGTCAAACCTCAATCTGAGTTCACTTGTCTAAGCTGCTTTGTCGTAAATTAAGCATAGCTTAGCTAAGATAAGTGAACTAATTCCAAATACAGTAGTAAAACCTATTTTCTTTCAACCTACATAAGTTATGCTAACTGATATTAGTTCAACACTGGTATTACAATTATACTAGATGTTACAATAATTATAACAAATCAAATTTTTCCTACATTACATAACTTTCATGTTTCAGCTAATGAAAAACTAGGATCATGTTTCGAGACTCAGTACTTAATAAAACCTCACAAACTATTGAGTGTTATCGGACCATTGTAAATATAGTGTCGTAGAGCTATATAAAGTTTTTTTAATTACTGTTACGACTCATCTAATTTTCCCTAACATATAGTTTGTAGCGTAGAATGTATTGTTTTTGTTCATCTGTCCTTGAAATAAGAATGATACTCAATATTCATTTAGTTGTAAAACCTAATGAGTTATGATTGTCTTTTGGTTTGTAATTTCAAGTAGCAAATCTCAGGATAAAAATATTACACAAGTTGTTAATGGCATGCCCTTGGATGAGTGCTTAGATAGTGGTCAAAATTTAGAAGTTTATTAGATTTTTACTAGTAATCAATAAGAACTCGTTTTATATGATAGAATCAATTACCATTAACCCATTAACAGCTAAATATTTTTCTTCCAATAAACAGGTAACTTACTGACAAACCAAATTTATCACTATTGTGTTTACTAGATCTCAGTACGTTTCATTTTATTTAAACGATAAGCAATTCTGACCTAGTATATAATGTCACTCCAACCTAACTGTTAGTCAATAAAAATTGTTTATATCATAAATACGATCAACAGTTTAGTTAGTTCTGTTTACAAAGAAACTTTAAATAAGGTAGGTAGTTAAAACGAAAACAGTTTCAATATGTTAAAAATTTGAAACCAATCAATGGATTTTGTGAACGACCATATGAACATAAACATGTTAAATGGTTAGTAATCACTGTTTTCCTATGGGTAGCGCGACTGGGCTACAAAATGTCAACTTTAAAAAAATATGAAGCATATATCGAACAATATGAGGAAGTTTCCTGTACAAAAGATGGAGAATATATCAGTATGGTTTAAGTGAAATTAAACATTCTCTGAGTCATCGTCAACAGTAATATGGTATTGTTTTTCTAAAGAAAAATAACTGAAAAATTATATGCACAAAAACATATGGTTGATCTTATCTAGTCAGGCGAGAACAATTTTATATTTTTATTCCTAACATGAACTTCCGTGTGGATGTGATCACGTAAGCAATCATGAATCATAAAATAACATGGCCATGAAAAGTAATGTCAAGGATGAAAACTCAGATATTATTTTTGTGGATATTTTCTACTAACAAGCAGCAATGTATTTATGCAACTATTGTATACTTTAAAAATCATATCAGCACTTGACCATTCGGATATAGATTTCATTCTGCATGCTAAAATTATTTATTGGATCACGTTTACAAATTATATAGCAGATTGAAGGCAATGTCACAATTGAGTTCTATGTAGTTATCAATGCCTACAAATGACTAAGCTAATTAAATGCTCTCAGTACAAAATTTTCATGAATACAGTTGACTAAAAAAACCAAATTATAACTTTGTGCTTCGTAATATTTAACAGCTGAAAATGCTCTAAATTCTACGTAAACTCAAAATCATAACAATCTCCACTTTGCAAAATAAAGGGAACAAGAAACTTAAGGAAGGTTATCTTGACTAACTGAAGACGTGTAAATATGTATGCCATTACGTGATAAAAACGGTAGCTAGTTTCTGAAGTGTTTTAAAATACAAATAAAAAGTGTAAGTAAACATAACTTCTGAAATTTTATGAAACAGATACTAAACCCAGAAGCAATTCTAAATGTGATAATGGATGATCATATCAAATGCTGTCGAACTAGGAGTATTTAACATCATTATTCACACATGAATCATTGTTTAAAATATAGTA